CTGAAGGATCAACGAGGAGACCTGACAAATTCCAGAAGTTTCATGGTGTTCCTGAAAGATCCGTCGGATGCCTTTCGGTTCCAAGAGATTTCAAGATTCCTACGGATTCCAGAGGATTCCTGTGAGGCCCCCGAAGGACTCCTGAGGATTCCTGCAAATTTGCTGCCGACTCTCGGTGGATTCGCGAGGGTTCCTGAGGGGTCCAGGCGTCCTGTGGGCCCCTTCAGATTCCAGAGAATTTCTGAAGTTCTGAAAGCACCCGGCCTGATTTTTGAAGGATTCCTGCGCCCCGAGGCCGCCGAACTCCAGCAGAAGGAGGCTCCAGCCACATGCGAGTCGAGCTGCTGACCTGCAGAAGAGATGGTGGCTGTCACGAAGACCGCTTGGTGAGGAAACTTTCGGAGAGTTTTGGCAACGCGTTCAGGGTTGCCTCAAGGATATGAAGCTGTTTGCACCGACGGTCTCCATGATTGTGAGTGCGTCTTTTCCTCCACTAGTCGGACCTAGGACTCACGCGAATCAAGTCATAGATCGCCTCCTCTGACAAGCACGTCAAATGCAAATAACCAGGGCGCAAGTTGGAGCCTAGAGTGCACGCGTCCCGCCGCGCGCCATGGTCGTCGAGAATCTTTCGCATGACCTCCCAACACTTAATTACCCAGCGCCAAACTGTTGTGCCGAATGTGAAGGGGTTGGTCGGGCCCGCGCCTCAACCCGCGACCGGGAGGTGCTGGGGCGGGGACATGTGTTGGGGCGAGGAAGCACCCTTTCCAGGAGAGAAAGGCCCGCGCCGCCTCTTCAGATGGAAACAGCTCTGGCACTGCGCAGTAGCGCCATCGAGCAGATGGCCAACCGCCGCCCGGAGCGAGTTGGAGTGAGCTGTGAAGACCCTCGAGAGCAACTTCCTCGGGAGACCTCGGATCCAGATCTTGCAGCGATCCCCTGAATCAGCTCGCTCAGGTACCGACGCGAAAGACGGAGGAACAGGAAAAGCACGTCCAAGACGAACTGTGGCACCATCATGAGTCATGAGAACGGTTCGAGCTACCATCAGGGCTGAAGGACCTCCATGGGTCGCCACCATCGTAGAGCCAGGAAGTCGAACATGCGGTCGAAAGTTGTAGCAGTGGCCGAGTCCTTGATCGACTTTTTCATAGCAAATAGCTTGGCATCGAGCTGGGCCGTCGCAGCCAAGCAGGAGGGCGGGCCGGCAGCAAGGGCAGGCTCCCGTCTGCTCATGTCGTCATCGCCAAAAAGCGTGGCAACCACAACCTTTCCAAATCTGTCCAAACATGGACCGTCAACCGATCCAAACCCTCGCGCATGCTGCAACTCTGCCACTGAATCTCGGCGATGGACGCCTCGAACTTGTCATCCACGAATCCGTCAAGCTTGGTCATCGGCGCCAGCAGCGTCCCAATCGCCTGAAGATCCTCGGATGAGAGCGGCATCGCTGGAACCGCCGAAGAAGCAGAGAAATCGACTGGCCGCTTGGGCACGAGCTCACCAACAGGATCGAATGTGTCCGCCTGACTCTGACTTCAGGATGGCCCTCTGAAGAAAAAAGATAGAAAGAGAGAAAGAGAAAACAAAAAAGCCGTCTCACTCAACTGGGGCCTGTCCCCACCTTGAGCGAAAATGGCGACGACAAAAATAAAAAAGCGAAAAGGAAAAACATGACGAAGGGAGCGAGCACAAAAACATACTCGAGAACAAGAAAGGTGTAAGAGACCGTTGCCGAAATTACCGAGTCCCTGGGGGCCATTGCTGCCCTTGGACTTCTTGCCGAAACCCTGGGGTCTGAAACCCTAGGGGCGATTGCCTGAACCCTGAGAACTGTTACCGAAACCCTGGGGGCAATTACCACAAGCCTGGAAACTGATACCGGGCCCGCCTTCTGCAACCGAAGCCCGGAGTCTAATGCCGCAGCCCACTACTGCCGTCCAGTGCAGTCGATAAAAAACAAATGCGCATTCTATTCGGGAAGTACTATATCATGCGAAGGGCGCGCTGGGAACGACTTGTCCCATCGGACGTGGGAGACTACCACAAGATCCCGCCAAAAAGAAGCATCGGAAATTTAATAATCATGAAACTTTGAATCCGTCGCTTATCGAACAAACAGACTACTTAACAATGAACGATGCGACATCATCCCGATACAACTCAGAATATCACATGATAGACACCATCGCACTTTCTCGGAACACGAACAACGATCATGAACGAAACTTCCCATTGGGTACTCCCAATCAGAGACGACTCCCATGATAGTGTACTTTTGAAAGATTGGTAAACATTCTTGAAACAATAATGGCAACGCTTGTCGTCACTTTGCTTATCCGTGTCCGGCATTTGTACAACGTCGTTTCGAGGTGGGCGATTTTCTTCCGCAGACTTCTGCCGCCCCGAAGGTCGACGGCCCTGGTTTCTCCAAGATCGCCAACGCAAGTCGTCGGCTGCTGAACGCATGCCGAACGCTAACAAAACATACGTACAACACGTATGTATGATGATACAAGGGAGTACGACAAATTTCAAAATAATGCTGTCTTGCTGGCGGATCGCATTCTGGTTCTTGTTGCGCCGGGCCCTGACCCAGAAACCAGGCCGAATGTACAACTGAAATGCAACTTCTCTCTCCAGAGCGGAGAGGGTCTACCATTCTGCTTCCTTCTTGCTGCGCTGGCACATTGGTCGGGGTGGCTTGCCATATGGACGTCTTCCTGTTGCCTATGACTACGCATCTTGCAAGAATTTCTTTTTTGTTTAATGCTGAACTTGCCATCGCTCGGTTCCACGTGCATTTTTTTGGCGGTCGTGCGTCTTTCCGCGAGATCAACCAAGATGCTCCTCAATGGTCCTCACCGAGGGAATTCGCTGCTGCCAATGCCAGAAGCTCAGTACTAAAGACCGATGCCAGAACCTTAGAACCAGAACGCAACACACGCAAACTCGATTACGATCTTAAATATTCGTCATCGCTAGCGGTTCACGTCGAAGGCCACCAGAAAGTGCGGACTGTCTGCCACTTCGGCAACTCGACTTGCCGTGCCCTTGTGCCCACCTTGAACTGATCTTAAGGGAACGACGAATGACATAAGCATAACAACTCGGAGTTCCGTGCGGATTACTCGGCTCCGCGCTGGACCTCCCTGGCGGCGCCTCCGGCGCCGCCCCTGGCGCGCTCTGCGCGCAAGGGAGGGCAGTCCAGCGCCGATGCGAGAAATTCGCGCGGATCTCCGAGTTTTTATGTTCATGTTATTCGTCGTTCCCCTAGATTTAGGTCGGGCATGTCTCCCTACAGGCTGATTTTGGACGAAAAGTGTAAAAAATGCGAAAAATCGTCCCCAGACTATTTCTTGACTATTTTTGACTATTCCCCTGTAGAGGGCAGGCAAGAGGCGGGGACGGACACAGACTTGAAGGCCTCGGGAGGAGGCCCCGTTGGCGGCGCACACAAATGGGCAGCGGGAAGGGGGGAAAACTTCTCAGGAGGAGCCTGCTTTTAAGCAGGCGCCGGCCTTGCATCTATAGAGAAGGCCCGCGCCTTCTAAGAAGCGAGGGTGCTTTTAAGAAGCCTTCCCCCGCCCGCTGCCCCCCTCTGCGCGTGGCCGACCCATGCGAGGAGGGTGGGGTGGGAGGCCAGGAAGGGAGGTCCAGGGGAACACCCGTGGGGGCAAGCAATCTTCGACACCCCGAACGCGAAATCTGCCAAGCGAGGGGAATATCCTGGGGTGCCGGCGGTAGAGAGCGCAAGCCCTTCGGAGAACCAGTGGGGCACGTCCGCCTACACTTGACTTTTTCCTTTTACTCGTCTATGAAGGGCAACGTTGAAGGGGGACCTGCTCATGGGGGGGAAACATCGAGCTGGAATCCGCGGTACATCGCCGGTAGACCGACGACAGGCCCCCCGACAGCAAATCTGCACGCTCCTGAGCGGGGCGGGCTATCGGGCCCCTATCGGCGATGAATGGGCGATCGGGGGTCGATGCATCCCCCCCTCAGCCTATCCCCCCCCGAACGTTGCCTCTGAGTCTATGGGTCTCCAACCCAACTCAGTTCTGGCGGGATGACGAACATTGGAGTCTGCACGCGTTTCTACAGGAAGACGGTGGGGAACATAACGACGCGTTGATGCCGACGTTCATGATTTTGTTTAGCGCTCTCGAAGACTAGCAAGTACCTCGTGATCTGGGTAGCATTCCGTTCGGACGTGTTCTCATCATGTCAAAGACTCTACAAAGTGAGCACGTCACATCGACATCAGCGCTGGCAAATTAGCAGCGGAACCACAATCGACATGAACGGCGCATGTACGACATAATTATCAACTGATGCGTAGATGCCGAACGGTTTGGCAATGGAAATGGACATCAAAGTTCTGGGAGCACCACAGGGAACGGCGGAGTCCGTTGCAATCTGTGCAGGCCGACCGTCGGTTGACAAGACAACGACATTCCCAGTACTACCCAACTTCCCCTGGATGCAGATTGATGGGTTCCAGAGAGACGGCGGGAAAACTTGTTAGCGGACAACTTAGACCAATCCTCGACCCTTGGCAATCAGTCATTGCTGCCACGTGCCGTCCTTCCCTCTTTTACGTCCTCGTCGTCTGCCGCCGCCTCCGCCTCCACCTCCGTCCTCCTGTTTGCCTCTTCTTCGCTCGCTTTTTGTCCTCCTCATTCGCCTCCTCCTTCATCCACTACTCTGGAGCCCCGACTAAGACTGCCCCTGGAGGAAACAAACTGTTGGCGATGGGGGACTCGGACCCATGTTTCCAACGGCAACCGGTGGCCGACCTCTGGGGTGCAACCCTGGGATTGGACAAATCAATGCTTCGGAGGTCTGGGAAAGAAAGACAAGCCGCGAGGGCCGAGGCGTCTTCACTCGAACGCCAACGCGCCAGCGTCAGTCTGTCTCGTCTTCAACTCTGGCGCCAACACACGCCAAATTGAGAAGCAGCACGCCAGCACCGGCTTACATTTAACAACGTTGCCCTACGCCTTCAGCTGCTCAGCCCATCCTTTGATGACCTTGGCGCTCGGGAACCGCTGACAGGACACGATCCCCCTCAACGATCGAGAACCGTCATATCCTCGCCGCAGAAAGCCTCGATCTGCAGTCGTTCATGCAGGGATACCTCCACCTTCCTCTTCCCAAGGGTGTCCGCGGTTCGGTCGGTTGGGCTACCTCGCAGTCGGTTGCGTGCGTTCGGTCTCATTCGGTCGGTTGCTTGCCATGGCCGCGACGCTGCGCCCTTCCGGGCTGGTTGCGGCCAATCGATTTCGGTCGGCTTCGATATCGCTGTCAATTCGATCGGCTTTCCGTTGTGCCGTCGCCGTGGGTGACTTAGGAAGGTGATGAGGTTCTGGGGAAGAGGTGGGGCAGGAGAGGGGGAGGGGGGGAGAAGGGAGGAAGGCACGGGGCGGAAGGTGGGAGGAGAGGAGGGGACAGGGGGGGAGGGGGAAGGCTTCTCCCCCCTCCCCCCTCTTCCTCCTCCCCTCCTCCTTCCTCCTGCGTCCGCCCCCCAGGGGCAAAGAGCGAGACGGCGCCGGTCGGAGGGCGCAGGGAGGGTTGCCCAGCATCCACCCCTCCGCGAGATCTCAGAGCTTAGCACCGAAGATCCCGCCGAGGGCCGCGAATTAGAGTCTGGATCTAAGATGTTCTAAGATATGCCCTCCTCCTCCTTCTCCTCCTCCTCCTCCTCGTCCTGCGCCTCTTGCTGCTGCTCCTCCCTGCCCTGGCTGCTCCTCCAACTCCTCGCCCTCGTCCGCCTCGTCGTCCTTGTCCTCGCCATACCACCTCGTCGGCCTCATCCTCCTCGTCCTCCTCCTCCTCCTCCTGCCTCCTCCTTTCTCGACGGCGTCATCGTCACCGGCCTGTGTCCCTCCTCCCTCGTGCCGCGTCTGCCCCTCCTCCCGCCACCCCTCCGTCCAACTCTATCCTGCCTCCCGCCTCACACCTTCCCCCCCGCTCCCCCTCTTCGACCGCCTCCTGGCCTGGGCCACCACCCACCAGTCCCCGTCACCGCCTCGTCCATCTCTCCTCTACCTCCTCAATGCTCCTGCGTCCTCTTCCCCCTCCTCCGGCGGCTGCTGCTGCTGCTGCTCCTTCTCGCCGTTCTCCTTCTCCTCTTCCTCCTCCGCCACTCCCTCCTGCCGCTGGTGCTCCTCTTCTTTTTGCTTGTTAGTCGGTTTGTGTTTTTTTTTGACGCGACCGGCCATCTGGAGAGGCTTTGGAGGCGGCCCATCTGCTGATCAACACTCGGTGGGAGGAGGGAGGACGACGAAGGGGAGGGGGGACGAATTCGTTCGTTCCGTTCTGCTACCGTTCAGGCAATCTTCCATGAAACTGTCAATCGTTGCACTGGGTTGGGGAACGATGCAGCATCTTTCGTCCTCCCTCTCTCGTTCATTCTCTTCGCGGAAGGACCTGTCGCGCCAGCACTTGGGCACGGGCGGATGCGTCCCTGTTGACGCCAGGGGGATGGGAGGAGCAGGGGGATGCGGGAGAAGGCGAAGAAGTGGTGATTTGCGGGAGTTCTAATGAGGATTAACCTGGCCTGGCCTGACCTGCTTCTCCTGCTGCTTACTATACCCCTCCTCCTCCCTGCCTCCCTCCCCTCCCCTCCCCTCCCCTCTTCTCCCCCCTCCCTCCCCTCCTCCTCCTCCTCCTCCTCCTCCTCCTCCTCCTCCTCCTCCTCCTCCTCCTCCTCCCCCTCGCCCTCCCCCTCCCCCTCCCTCCTTTGTTCTCTTTCCTTGCCTCTTTCCCCCCTTCTTCCCCTCCTCCTCCTCCTCCTCCTCCTCCTCATCATCCTCCTCCTCCTCCTCATCCTCCTGCTGGTGGTCCTCTCTGCCTTTCTTGCATCCTTCTCCCCCTCCCCCTTCCCCGTTCCTCTCCCTCATTCATCCTCATCTTCGTTTCTCCTTTCCTTCTCTCCTATTTTCGGCGGATTGGGCACTCCAAGTCAGCCTTCAATGTTGACCCGACCTCGCCTTCTCCTTCCTCCCCCCCGTCACCTGCCCCCTTGCCATTCCTCCTGCCTCTGAAATTCCCGAGCCCTACTAAGGATCGGAATGGGGAGGAGGATGGGCACGAGGAAGGAGGAGGGGGAAGGGACCCCAGGTCCCCCCTGCACTCTTGTCTCCCGGCGCGGAGGTGCACCACAAGGACCGCCACTGAGCGTATACGCCGCACTCTGACCGTATGCAGGAAGAGAATAGAAGAGGAAGGGGCAGGGACGCGAAAGGAAGTTGAGGACGAGGGAGGAGGTGGGAATGACAGGGGTGGGGTGTGGCGAGAAGGAAGAACGACAGAAACTGGGATCGGGCGATCATCCTTGGCCAGACTAAGCAAGGCGCGTCAAATGAGTTGCCGTTCCCGTGGACGAAGCACACCGCCTGGCCCGTCTCCTTGTTCCTCAAGGACTTTGTCCCGCCAGTGGTGACGACCTGGGCAATACTGTCTCTGTCCTCCTCCCCACTCGCCGGTCCACCTCCTCCTCCTCCTCCTCCTTTTCATTTCGGTTGTTGGGCCCAAATGAGCTCAGCCCCCGCCCAGCAATAGAGGCTTGACCTCTCCTCCGCGGGGGGGTCCCGGGGCAACTCCCGGGGGGGGGTCCCCCCTCGGATACGCAGCCCCCCGCCTCTCATCCTCCTGCGTCCTGGGGCTCTGTTGGCCCTCGGGGGCCGTCTGAGGGTCCTTTCAGCCTAGCTTAATGCTCCTTAAAGACCTTTCGCCATTTTTAGACTCTCTTGGCAGCCTCTGTCGGCACTCTTGACAGCCTCTGCGGGCGCTTTTTGACCTCGCTTGACGCCCTCTTGGAACCCTCTCGGGCCACTTGAGGGCGCTCTTTGCCTATCTTGGCACTCTCTGGAGCCGTTCCCGAACCCTGGAGGAGGCCTTTTGAGCTGTCTTTGGACGACCTTGCAGGTATCTGGCACCGTCTTCGAGCCATTGTCTTCGCCGTCGCTGCCTACAAGATCGGCGGCATCGGCCGTAAGGCTTTCGCAATAGACAGAGACTCGATCGTCGATCGTGAGGGCCTCGGCAAGAATGCTATCGTTCTTCACCCTCCTCCTCTGGTCTGACTTCATTCGTTGGAGCACGCGCAGAGCCGGGCAACTGATGAGCATGCACGTTACTGCGCTGGGCGAATAACCCATCAAACCGATGGACACAACGCGCATTTGATTGGAACCTTGTTCCCGGCACGAAAGAAACTTATCGGCATAATGGTGGTTCCTACAGGGCTTGCGTAGGAACAGTGGCGAATAAGCCACACAGAGCGACATTAACGAAACCATCCAACCACGACACTATCTTCACCACGACACCAGCTATGCGAGATGGCTTGCGGTTGCGACGGACACGACGTGGTCGAACTCGCTTGAGTGCACACTCCTGGTAAACGCCAGCTGAATGTGCAGACTCTCCAACACCAGCAACACCAACACTGACCATCACTACCTTGTAGCGCCGACCACCAACGACCGCCAGCACCGACAGTGACCGCACAACAAACACTACTTGCACAAAACACCGACCACCGCCAACCACAACGAACAACACGAGCAACCAGAACATCGACCACGCCAACCTAATCCTGACCTGGTCCGTGCAACATTTCTTCCACGTCTTCTGCTTGCACCAATGTATTTGTGCTGGTTTGTGCCAATACCGCTTCTCCCCGGACCGCACCTGGGGTGCGTTCTGACCACAACCTCGAGAAGAGTCCAGCCGCGGCGACGAAGGCTCTCCAGGATGAGCAGCGATGTCGATACCTTTTCCACTTCACCTGCACTGTATCTTTTGTGCCAATTCGTGTGCTGCTTCATCTGCGGCTTTTTAAATACACTGAAGCAGGCACGGACAAAAACTGGGCACGATGCCCAACAACAAGTGCTGAACACAAAACCGGCAGCGGCCGCTCTTGGGCAGGCGGCCTTCTGCCTCAAATGGATGACGTCCGCGGCGACGCCGACATCGAGTCCTGTTCAAAATGGGCATGAATTGCTGTCGGTCGCACCAATGCATGAACCTGCGGCCTCACGTGCCCTGCACAACTGTGTAAGGACGGGGGAAAACTGGACAACTCGCTTCCAAGACAGCCAATATGGCTGCAAGACTGCTCCCAGACGGCTAAGATTGCCCCAAGAAAGCCCGAGATGGTCCCAAGACGCCTCCAAGACTGCCAACACGGCCCGAAAGCAGTCTAAGATGCCCTCCAGACGGCCCAAGAGGTCCCCAAAACGCCCCAAGAAGACTCCAACAGGGCCTCCAGGAGGCCCAAATCATTGAGGGCTGTTTCGTTTTTTAATTAGTTGTCGGATGTTTTTGAACGAACTTTTCCGGGGGGGAACTCAGAAAAAGCTCACCGTCTGTGCACCCCTCGCACGCTTCGTGGTCCCCTAGGGAGCCCCGCCGAAGGCGCAGCGGCAGGGTTCGCAGGGTGCCCCCGCCCGATTCCGGCACACCCCCCACGCGTTTCGTGGCCCCATGGGGACCACTACCGAAAACTGTATGCATAATGCGGGCTCACAATTGCATATGGTTGGGCCCTTCGCCAGGATAACCGGGTTCTTGCCTTTTAGAGCTTCCGACGCTCCAAGAAGCCCCCGAGAGGCGCCCAAGAAGTTCAGTTTCCAAGACGGCCCAAGAGGCGCCCAATACTGCCCGAGAGGGTCCCAAGACGGCCCAAAGAAGGGCCCAAGAGTGGAAGCACGCTCCAACAATGAGCCTTGTGCCCCAAGAGACCCCCTCGCTTTGAGTAGTTGCTACTCAGAATGCTGCGCTGGCACTGTGGCGGAGTTGCTGTGGAGGCAGCTGGGTATGTTGCGCCACGTAGATTGCAGTGTGTAGTTGGCATCGTAAATCTGTGTATATATATGTCTATAGATATAACTGTATACATGTAACACCACCTAGTTTACATCACATATATTGCACCACACATATATAGCTAACATAGACTGCTAACATAGCTTGCACCATGTATGTTGCACCACACAGTCTGCTAGAACATACTGTTTGGGGTCCACGCTGGCTGACATTTTCCCATGGACTTTAGCGTTCTCGCCCTGTCGGGTTTCCGTCGCTCCAAGACGGCCCCATAAGCCCCCAAGACTGGCATCTGGCGGTAAACCGTCAACCTGGTTAAAGCCAGGGACCTCGTAGAGATCCCTGACATGCTTTCAAGACTGCCTAAGAAGCCCCCAAAGAGGGACCGACGACTGCCCAGAAAAGGGCCTCAAGACGGCCTCCAACAGCTAAAAGGTCCTTCAGATGCCCCCAGGAGCCCCCAAGAGGCTCCAGGAGGCCTCCAAGAGGCCCCTCAGAGGTCCCCACGATGCTCCCAGAAAGTCCCAGCAGGCCTTCAAGATGCCTCCGCATCTTCCTCCTCCCTCTCCTGTTCCTTCCTTTTCTTCTCCAAACCCCCAGGGGTTCCCGACAGCTGGCGGAACAAATTGTCCAATCACTTGGCCAAGCTTCGGCCCAACGTTTGGCCGCGTGGGCGTTTTGAAAAGGCTAGAGGCGGCGGTGATTCGCCGTAGGCATCTTCGATACGGAACATAACACATAACAATTCAGTTCTGGGACACGTAAGCGGCTTCGTACCTTGTCCACCACTCAATGCTAGTATGTGTCGCGGCACGGGGGAGGCGTAGGGGGAGGAGGAAGACGGAGAACGGGGCGGCCTCGACAGGAGTGTTCCCGTCCTTCACCATGTTGTGCAACGACAGGACCTGCGGGGGAACAAGCCGATACCCGCATCGCTGCGCGTCCTGAGCACGATCCCGGAGCGAATCCGGCCGCGGCGGCGCCGAGCCCGAGTCGGCAGCACGTCGCCGAGGGGTCGGCGCTGGGCCTCCGATCGCGAAGCCGCACTTTCCCGAGACGGGGCTAGCTATCGGGCTATCGGGCCTCCACTCGGGCCATCGCTCGGGCGTCCATTCCCTGTGTTTTCTTCGGGTTTCGTGCGTGGTTTGTCGCCAAATGATCAAGAATGCTCCTCGATGGTCCTCGCCGAAGGAAAAGTGCGCACGTCCCAGCGATGCCACGTACTCCTCTGAGCCCATCCCCCCCCTTGACGTTGCCCCTGCTGTGCTCCAGCGTCCGGGCGTCGTGCAGGAACAGGACCACGGCGGGCGCCGCCGCTCCGCCTCGGGGCCTCCTCGGGGCCCTGCAGGGATCGTTCCGGCGCAAGAGATCCCGCGCACGTGCGCGTGGGGTCGGGAGCTCTGTGCGCGATTCCTCCACGACGCCACGAATATCGCCCCCGTCCGAGGACCAGGGTGCCCGGGTAGTCGAGGGTCACCACGTCGGGGTTCGCGAGGAAGTACCTCTTCCCCGGCCGCCCGGGCAGGCCCCCGGGCGCGCAGGAACAGGGAGACGCGATCTTTTTTGGCATCAGCGGGACAGCAGCTCGACGATACAACAGGGGAATAGGAAGACGTGAGCTGGAGGCAGAGGAGGAAGCAGATGAGCATCACCGCCGCCGTGCTAGCGGGCCCCCCAAGGTGGCCTCAGCCGCGGCGGCTCGCTCAGCAGCGCGCCGCAGCGCTCGGAGCGCCCTGGCCTCCACCTTCTCGCCCATTATTCTCTGCGGCGCCTCAGTGTAGTCCTCTGGCAGCGGGAGCTGCACACGGGAGCCCTTCTCAGCGGCTAGCCTACGCTGGGGCGTGCGAGAATGCCTGTTGGTTGTCAGGTGAGGCTCCCGTTGTGCATCTGGGGCCCCTCTCCCTCGAAGAGACCAGCCTCCAAACATCGCCCCCTCTGGTCTTGCTCTTCAGCGCCCTTCTCGGCTACAAGACACGCCTCAGAGAGAGAGACCAAGAGGCCGACGACCACCCAAAAGCGGCCGCAAGACACGCCGCATGACCATCCCAATAACAGCCCAACAAGTAGTCGATCGTGCTGGCCTGCAGTAGCATTTTGAGCATATGGGGAGGAGGAGGGAGAGGTGGAGGAGGAGGAGGATGAGGAGGAGGAGTAGGAGGAGGAGGAGGGGGAGGAGGGGGAGGAGAAGGAGGAGGAAGATAAGGAGGAGGAGGAGGAGGAAGAGGAGGAGGCGGATGCGGAAGGAGCAGATTCCTTGAACTCTGATTCGCTTTGTCAGACCGCTTGTCGAAAGAAGAATGTGGTGGCGGCCCCAATGGTGCGGGATTCCTCCACTCCGTTTTCCGTACTGTTCCTCCCTCTTCGTGATCCTCTCTTCCCTCTCATCTGTCCGCAAGGTCGGGGCAGAGATGGTTTCGCTCGTGGGTGCGCGCTCCTGGAGCGCTTCAAGGGGTCTCCAAGAACGCCTAAGAGCGGCCCAGGAGTGGGGCCTATGGGTGGCAAATTTCAAGATGCTCCCAAGAGAGCCCCAAGATAGCTCCGGTGGCCCAAGATGGTCGAAGACATCCCCCAAGAAGTCCCCAACAGGCCCAACTCCTTCGAACAACTGAGACTTTCCCAAACAGTGTTTTTTTCTCCTTTTCACTTCTTACGAGGTTCTGAGGCCTCAAATGGCTGCCAGATGACTCCAAGTGGGGCCTGGAAGAGCTCCAAGAGGCCTCCGAAGAACTCCGCGCGCGCCCCAGTAGAGGCCCAAAACACTTTCCAGAGGGACCCAGGGCGGTCTAAGAGCGGGCATGAAGGAGTCGCAGGCCCTGGGATGGCCCTGAAACAGCCCCATGGTGCTCCCGCGACAGCTCCAACAGGCCCCAAGATAGCTCCGAGGTGGCTCAAGATAATCCAAGACAGCGCCCAAAAGACTCCAGGAGGCGAGACTCCAGGATTGAGATATTCCCGCCTTTTCGCATCACATCAGCTCCAGGGCGCCCCAAGATGGCCCCCAGAGGGCTCCAATATGTGACTAGCATCCTCTCAGCCCCCGCGAGTCTGCAAGCAAATGCTCCATTTCGGCCGGCGGAATGAGCGAAGCGACTGCACATTTAGTGGCTTTTGCTTTCGAAGCTTTTCGACATGGCCTGGCATCATGAAGACTTCTGGAAAGCCCGAAGACAGCCCAGCCCAACGGGAGCCAATAAGCCGCCGAGACGGCCCAGGACGGCCCAAATCTGCAGACCCTGTCGGCGTGTGCGAGAGGCTTCTCCGTTTGAGTTGTCGTCGTCGTCGTCGTCGTCGTCGTCGTCGTCGTCGTCGCCATCACCGCTTCCCCTTGTCCCTGTCCGCGGGCCCTCCTCGTCAACCGTCCCGGCCGAAGAAATTTGAGCAACGTCGCAACAGAGTCGAAAGGAAACCTCTCCCCTCTGATCATCCCTTCCCCGCCGCCGGAGGAGGAGGCGGAGGAGGAGGAGGAGGGGGAGCAGGAGGAGGAGGAGGAGGAGGAGGAGGAGGAGGAGGAGGAGGAGGCGGATGATGATGATGAGGAGGAGGGGGGGGGACGTCGCGGGGGGTGGAGGGGCAGGGGGATCGCGGGGAGAGGGGGAGGGAAGGGGGGGTTCCGGGGGTCGTGACCCACTCCCGCCCCCCGAGGAGCTTTCCCCGTCGATTCCTTGCCTTCCAAACACCTCGGGCTCCCCCGTCGGGGTCGGCGGCACCAGCCGTAGGGCCTTCACGGGATTGCACCACCCGAAACCCAAAAGACCCGCAAGACACCTCAACCCACTCGACAAGAGCCCCTGCGCCGTGACCGTCGATTCCAAGGCCAAGCATGATCCAAAGGCAGATCTTGAAATAACATCAGGGTGCACTGAGAGAAATCAATATGGTGGAAGACGCATCCATCCAACACGGCCACGCGTCACGCTTTCTCATATACACATCTATTTCTCCGCTGGCGATCGCAACTCCTCCACATCACACGTACTGTCCGCCAACCCATGGGCAGACCATCGCGACGAGCGTGCTGACCATCACATCCCTGCGTGATCGGTCAACGGAATCTCTCCCTGGGCCCGTGAGGTTCCGCTCTGGGACGCACCTCCAGAGGTCAGCGGCCGAGCGGAGCCCTCCGCTCGCGCCGACGCCTCCAGCGCGACTCTCTGCCAGTCGGTGCGGTAGGCGGCCGTGCCAGCAATCGCCGTGGTCACCATGTAGCCAATCGCCAGGCCAAGCCAGAGTCCCAGAAGGCCCAATCCACCTTTCTGGGGAGAGGGTGGAAGTCTTGCCTGAGGTCACGCATTGCCCCTCCCGTCCCCGGCCCGGGAGAAACCGGTTGGACCAGTGCCCCACGGCCAATTACGATGAGGGGAGGCGCGGCAAGGCGAGATCTCAAGAATTACTGTGCTAAATCGTTACACGTCCAGGCTTTTGCAAAGCCCTTGTAATCTGGAACATATGCTAACATGCCAATCCGAGTCGAACTCCCCCCTGCATTGTTGCAGGGCACTCTTTTGCACCGCCAACCACTCATGTGGGGAAACACCGATGGAGACGAGCTTCGGTATGATATGGCGTATGCATGTTTATGCATACACATCGTAAGTTTACATGCGCACGTACACAAATACACACGCACACACGTACAGACACACAGACTTACAGACATAGACATACAGGCAGACAGACACAGACAGACAGACAGACAGACAGACAGACAGACAGACAGACAGACAGACAGACAGACAGACAGACAATATCCGCCACCGTGCCTCTGGGCACGGAGTGGGCGTGTCCTCAGGTCCTTTGCCTAACCCCTGGATCTTTTAAGGGGCCTGGACCCAAATTTCCGAAAATCTCTCGGGGCTTCCCGCGTGACACCTCGGGGTCCCGGCATCTTGTCGCAAGGGTTCTGGTGCGTGTCCCCACGTGACTCTTTCGGGCCCAAGAGGGCCCGAAGACGTGCCAAGAGGGCTCCAAGAGGCCCTCAAGATGGTCCAAGAGAGCCTCGCGTCGCCGAAATATTGTTCCAATACGCCCAAGATGGCCCAAGGCTCCTCCAGGACGCCCCACGAAGCCTCCAACACGCCCCCCATGAGGGCCCAAGGAGGCAAACATCAGTGATTTCTCTAGGGTTTTTGAAAGATTTTGGCGTTCTCGCCTTTTCGGCATCCTGACGCTCCACGAGAATGAAGACGAACGGAAAATCCGAGCCTTCCGCCCCAAGAGCCTCCCAGGAGGCCCCAAGAGGCGCCCAGAAGGCCCCGAGAGGCCTCCAAGAGGCCCCCAGGAGGCCCCAAGCGCCCTCAAGCGGCCCCAAGAGGCCTCCAAACGGCCCCCAAGAGGCCTCCAAACTGCCTCCAAGATGCCCCTGAGAGGCCTCCCGCAAGATCCCAGCGAACATCCAATAGGCTTCATACCCACAACCCAGGCACGGTGGTGGGATGGGCCGAAGGCCATTCGATAATCGTGCCCTTCCTCTTCTGCTCCTTCCCTCTTCCTCCATCCCCCTTTCTGAAGGAGGCCCCGGAGAGGCATCCCTCGAGCCCCTCAAACGCGTCCAAGAAGCTCCAGACCCACCATATAACTTCCAAGATCTTGGCACGCACTCGCTCCTTCTCCTGGGGTGTCGGCGGAATGGCGCAAGCCGCTTTCGTATATGTTGTGTAATCCATGCGGTGCAATCCTTGCGGTGAATTCTATGTGGTGCAATCCACTTGCCGAACTTGAAATTGTCAACTCCACTGCTCCCGCAATCATCCCACCCACCCACCCGCAACTTGGTTTGCAAAACCCATGCGGGACCGAGCATAGCTATCGCTCTGGGGTCGTCTTGGATCCCTGGGGGGCGCCTCAAGAGCGCCCCAAGAAGGCCGGAGAAGCAAGACGGCCGACGACGACGGCGACGACGACGACGACGGCGGCGACGACGACGACGCCGACGTCGACGACGACGCCGACGCCGACGACTAAGACGACGACGACGTCGCCAACGAAGACGACGACGAGGGAGGAGGGAGGACGACGACGGCGCCAACGACGACAACGACGACAACGACGACAACGAGGGAGGAGGGAAGACGGCGACGACGCGAACGACGAAGAAGGAGGAAGGACGGCGACGCCGACGACGACAACGACAAGGGAGGAGGGAAGACGAGGACGAGACGACGACGACGACAACGACGACGACGACGGCGACGAAATAGGAGGGACGACGACGAGACGCCGACGACGGACGACGACGACGACGAGGGAGGAGGAGGAAGGACGACCACGGCGACAACGACGACGGAAACGACCACGACGCCAAAGAGGACGACGACGACGAACACGAGGAAAGACACAGGACGACATAGGCGACGACGACGACGACGACGCGGGAGGAGGGAGGACGGCGACGACGACGACGACGACGCCGCAAGAGCGCGCGCGCACGCTTTTGTTGAAAATCCGTGTGGCGAGACCTTGTGTTTTTGTAGGCTTTTTGGACGCGCGATTTTGAAATCCTTCCGAAACCAATGGGTTTTGAAGGATTTCGGTGTACGCGCGCGACGACGCGCGCGTCTGCACTTCGTCCCATTTTTTGCAGAGGATTCTCGCGACGGCATGCGCGCAAGGGCGTTCGACAGATTTCGACATGCGCGCGCGCGACGCAAGTTTGGTAGCATGTTGTGAAAATCTTGAAACACCCATGGTTTTCTTAAGATTTCGCAAGAGCTCGCGCGTAAGCTTTTTTAGCAAATCGATGTTACGGAACCCTGTGTTTTTGTATGTTTTTTGGAAACTCGATTGCGAAATCCTTCCGACACCGAAGGTTTTTGAAGGATTTCGGCATGCGCGCGCGACGACGCGCGCGTGTGCACTTTGTCCATTTTTTTGCAAGGGATTCGCGAAAAAGTGTTATGTTAGAACAAACCATGTCACCGCATAGTGTTTTTTTACAAGGGAACATCAAGGGGGGGGGGAATTCCGGTTGGCCTGGGACATTGTGATTTCTTATTTAGGATGGACATGTGGTCATAATCATATATGATTTACACACCCGAAAGGGGGGCGATAACGCGGGGGAGGGGGGGTAGAGTCTATTATTCTCTTTTTAGAAAGGAGAATCTAGGCAGCGACAAGGGCAACGACGGCGAGCGCGGAGCCGCCAGACCCACAATCGGGCCCAGACAACGGGCGGCGACGAGGCAGCGACGAAGAGCATAGAGCCGCCAAACCGACATTCAGGACCAGACGGCGGGCGGCGACGAGGCGGCAACAGCGAGAACGAAGCCGCCGATATTCAGGGCCAGTTCCTTAGAAGAAAAATAAGAAACCCTAATATGAGAAATGTTTGTGTACACACATATGTGTACAAATATACACATATCTTGAACTGTTTGCCAGCGTGGATCCCACACAGTGAGCTTGTGCACGGTGGATGTGAAAGCGACGTGGTGAAAACAGTGTGGTACAAGCTATGTGGCGCAAGCTATGTGGCGAAAGCAGTGTGGTGCAAGCTATGGGGTGCGAACTACGTGGTGGAAGCCATGTGGTGAAATAGATATGGTGGAAGCTGTGTGGTGGAAGCTGTGTGGTGGAAGCTATCCAGTGCAAGCCATGATGTGGAGTCTATGTGGCGCAAGGCATGTAGTGGAAGTTGTGCAGTTGAGACAACGAGGTGCAAGCGATGCGGTGGATGCAGTGCACCGCAACCTGTGTGGTGCAACCTGAATGGTGGAAGCTATTTGGTAGAAGCGATGTAATGCAGACTACGTGGTGGCGCAAGAGGCGGCGACAGAGGCGGCGACGCACGGCCTGCAAAGCAGACCAGAACCGCCCGCCAGCGGACCACGGGGCGGCGATGCCAGTGGCGGCACCGAGCGGCGAAGCCCCCAGGCAACGCCAGCCCGCGCGCGAAGCGGCGACGAGGCGGCAACGGGCGAAACCCTGGAAACGCTAGCCAGCGAAGCTAGAACGAAACTAAGAAACTCTCGAAACAAGCACGGTCTGGGGTGTACGAGTGTGTGTGTGTGTATGTGTATGTGTGTGTGTGTCACCAGGTCTCGGCGCCCGCCCGCCCACTTGCTGGCCCTTCCCAGCTCCACGCCGCTCCCCCATGATGGCGTGGCTCCGCGTCCATGTCTCATGTCCTGCGCTTACACGCCGGCCGCTCGTGCCTTGCTCATCGCAGCGCACTGGTGGCGGCGGCCGGCGCTCCACCCTTCTCCTCCCCCTCCCCTCGCGCCTCGCAGGTCACCGCATCTCGGCGCTCTGCCTCGCCGCTGGGTTCGACAGCGCCGCCGGTTCCCCCCGTGGTGCGGTGATTGCACCAACATGTGGCAGACATGTCTCCTTGCAGCCATTTGCGGATTGTCCAACGTCAGCCCCTTGTGGTCTTCTCATGGGCTGATACTGGTTGGCTGGCCTGGACGCTCTGTACCTGCCCAATCGTGGTACCTGTTCCCCCACATGGCTCTGCCCGGCCGCCGTCGGGCTGCCTTCCCCCCACAGCTGCTGCCCGGCGCCGCGGCTGGCTCCCCCCCCCTCCGGCGTCCGCCGCGCCGCAGCCGGGACGTGCCTGAGCGGGCCCGGCTTCCTCTCTTCTCGTTGTGCCGGGGTCTCCTTCCCTCCTCCCGTGCATTGCGGCCCAATTTGCGTCTAGCGCGCCCCACTGATGCCCCATCGCCGGAGCAGCAACCTCTGCCCACCCGCCGACGTAAAGTGTGTGTGTGTGTTCTTCCTCCTCCTTCGGCCGCCCTCCCTGTCCCCTTCCCCTTTTCCTGCATGGTGGCGCAATTCGCTCCAACTGTATCCCCGTTGTCATTGCTCTTCCACCAGCGCAGTTCCTCTGCCTTGCCGCCGACGTAAAAAGTGTGTGTGTGTATAGATACTCATGGCGTCGCCGATTCGTGCATCGAAGGGGGGGTTATACACCTAGAACCAACACTGTCCAATCATACATCGTCGGGCGAGGGGTGGTGTGCAGATGTATTCCCTGGAGCCTTTTGGGCCAGTGTCCCAAGTCAGGCGGTCGGGCCACCAAGCGACCAGCTTCTCATCCACAAGGAAAGCCAACGAGTAACTGAGAGGCAACGCGACGCCCCAGCCACCGATCACGAAGGCAATGGCGAACCACTTGGGCTGGCCTGTTGCAACCAAGACAGCAACGATCACGTAGAATACTGAGATGACAAAATATCCACCAGCAACGACTGTCGCTATCTCCGCTGCCAACTGCTGGACCTGCACCTTTGACGAGTAGATCGAGCCGATCTCGTGCCGCGCCACCAAGAACACTAGTACGACGACGGCAGCCCAAGCAAGAGTCGCAGTAACCGCTACTTGGAGAACTCGTCGAACCGCCGCCAGATCGCCATTGCCAAGGTGGTGTCCGAGCCGCGCCGAAGTCGCTGATTGGATCCCCCACATTGCGCAAGAAAGAGCCATGAAAAAAGATAGCGTGCAGTTGTGGGTCGCGACAGCTGCAGGTCCAACAGAACCAGCGAAAATCGCTACCATCTGAATTTGGAACTCCTCAACCGCCGCGCCGATAGCGGTCGGGATCGCCTGCTTGAGAAATTCCGCCAACCGGTGCCCCTTCAAGCATTCTCGCAAGTGCCACCCTGGCCAAGTGCCGTTCTCGCGCACGACTGGGGAGCATGAGATGTAGCAAGCCAATGCCGTGCAAACGAGCCATCGGCTGAGTACCGTGGCGAGGGGCGACCCCAAATACCCGATCCCGAAGCCATAAACCATGACATAATTGCTGCCTGCGTTGAATAACAAAGCGCTCACCATAATGCACATTTGAGGCCGTACAACTTTTTGCGCCAACAAGAAAGCGCTCATTACTGACGAGCATGCAAGTGGAACCATCCACAGCAAAGATATTCTGAGGAACGCATCGATGTTCCTCGCATCTTGCTGGCTGATGTTCTGCCGACCAACAAACAAGCGCAATATCTCGCCTCCCCAAACCCAGATCACTCCCAACAACAAGGCCGTCAGCGAGCAAAGTAATACTGACAACTGCATGTATATGCCCACTAGATGGAAATTCCTCGCACCATACGCCGTGCTGCACAAAACATTCACAGTGCTGCCAGCCATGCCCCGAATGACGAAAACCATCACCAAAGATATCATGATTTGTGCATAAGCAACGTCGGAAAGGTATATGCTTCCGGCGTAATGGCCCAATACTGAAAGATCTGTCAAATCCATTCCAACGCGGCTCCAATTTGTGATGACAGACGGCCACACCAAAGACCACCATATGCGCACTTCCGTCAACAATTGACGGGAAAAGACGGGCATCCTTTCTGACATGCCAGCGGGCACAACAGCCTGCACTCAAGACTGATGAGTGCGGTGAGCAGGACGGAAGCACGGAATAATTCTGGACCTCGGCGTGCGCGTCTGATGCACATCATCCTTGAACAAGAACGGCTACGGACCTCAGCGGAGATGAAAGAGAAATGCCTCCAGCTCTGACCCGTCTCCCGTACATTCCCGAACCAATAAACCATCTTGGAGCGGCGTGACGGTCTGGAACCCTGGCTGTGTAACTGTGCCTAATTGGCCAGATTTACGGGAAAGCCACATTCATAATATCCAATGTGGGGTTTCCAATGTGGGGCTCTTAACTTGTTGTTTTCTCGAGGCACCTCCAGGCAGGAATACCCCCTCCCCCCCCTCTCCTCGCCTCTTCCTTTACGCTCGTAACCATCATTACCAAATAAGCTCACACACTCACAGCCCCACCACCCTCATCCTCATCATGATTCCCATCACCACCACCAATACCCCACGCGCACACTAACACACTCACGCACTCGTGCACTCACCGTGAGAAGCTCTCGAGCGGGAACCTCGTCAGCGAGCGAATTGCGAGGACGTCTCGAGCGGGAGCCCCTCCCTGTTGGGTCCCCACAACTGTGTTTCGAAAACGACGAGGTCAGCCAAACCCAACAGCTGCCATCACAATTGAGCTTCTGAGACTCGTCTGTGAATGATTTGCGAGAAGGGTCGATCGGGACCCCCGACCGTTAGGGCTACGACCTCATGCTGGTAAGCTGAAGGGGTTATCGGAAGCCTGCAACCATTGTCACTTTTGGGTTCCTCGGACCTGAAGCTCGAGGAAGTCTTAAGTCGGGCCTGTCCCTCTGCAGGGGGAGCATTCAAAAAGAGTCAAAATTAGCCTGGGGACGATTTTTTGTAGTACTTTTGAATATTGGTTGCATATTTTGGGATATCTTTCTATTTTTCGTCCACAATCGGCCTGTAGGGTGCCATGCCCGACCTAGAGGAAATCTCCAGCGGGAGCCTCGTCAGTGCATGGCTTGCGAGGGCGCCTCGCGCAGGAGCCCCTCCCCATGGGGCCCCCTACCGATGCTTCTCACCCGACGGGGTCCTCTCGTGCCCGTGGCCGTCGCCACCGTTGGGCTCCCGACGCCTGGGCCCCGAGGAATTTCTGACCGGGAGCCTCGTCTGCGCGAGCACTGCGAGGGAAGCCTCGAGCGGGAAGAGGGGGCCTCGTGTGCGAGTGCGCTGCGAGGGAGCCTCGAGCCTCGAGGGAGCCTCGAGCGCGGAGGGCAGCAGAACCACTCTCACGGTACGTACTCCGACGAGCGAAGCCCGCTTGTCAGCGCGCTGGATTGAGGAATCGAGCCGGACAGGGCTGTTCAGTAGACGCGCAGGGCTGCGTAGAAAACGCCATAATTATGGGGGTATGGGTGTTTTTTCCTCTCTTGATCAAGTTTCTATTCCGATGGGGTCGTCTCGGCTATGTAGCCGTCGTCACTTTCGGGCTCCAGGGGCCTGAATCTCATGACTTGCTGAGCGGGAACATCGTCCTTGCGCGAATGGCCAGGACCTCTCGGGCGGAAGCCAACCCCGTTTTGCGACGGGTACTGTGCGTGAGAAGCTGGGGCTTCTGTGTACTCGTTCAGACGATGCGCCCTCGGCGCTCAGGAGTCACGCTCTCGCTTTTGCTTTTCTCACGATTTACTTGGGGATCGGGCGATCGCTCGAGACTTCCTCGCGATTCATGCAGGACCCACGCTTCAACAACCCGCCTGCTCGACCTGGTCGCGTGGGCCCGCCTTCCCGACCTGCCTGCTATGGGTCTGCCCATCCGATCTGCCTGTCTGGTTCTACCACTTGTTTTCTGCTCCTTGCCCCCCTCCTGCTAATTTCTTTCGTGCTCCATTTTTCTCCTTCCCCTTTCCACCCGTCCTCTCTTCCCTTGTTTTAGGGGCTGCGCTAATTGCACGTGGCAGGTCGAGAAGATATACCCCCAAGGGGGTACGATCGAAGACGACGAGGGCGGGTACCGAGGGTTTGGGATATACGTATTGGTTGGCACGTGAGCAGATCGGAGCGAACAATCTTAAACTTATATAGTTGTTGTTGTTGCTGTTGCTGTTGTTGCTGTTGCTGTTGCTGTTGCTGTTGCTGTTGCTGTTGTTGTTGTTGTTGTTGTTGTTGTTGCTGTTGATTTCCCATATCTAAAGGAGCATTGTTGTTCACCCCCCCTCCAGTAACAAATGTGCTGTTTCAGTTGAAGTGCCTCTCCTGGGGCTGGCACCCTGTTTTTTATCAGGGCAATTCTTCCTCCTCAAGCTACGCCCCTGGCCGCCGGTTTACAACAACAACGGCTCCCGCTTGATATTTCCTGACAATTTATTTCCACATCGCATTCTCGCGCGGGACTTCCTCACAATTCATGTACGCATCGCGCACTCGCGTGGGACTTCCTTGCAATTTATTCAGACGATGCGCACTCGGCGCTCAAGAATCACGCTCTCACTTTGGGCTTTCTCACCACTTTCTTGGAATCGCGCTATCGCTCGAGACTTCCTCGCGATTCATGCAGGACCCACGCTTCAACAACCCGCCTGCTCGACCTGGTCGCGTGGGCCCGCCTTCCCGACCTGCCCGCTATGGGTCTGCCCACCCGATCTGCCTGTCTGGTTCTACCACTTGTTTTCTGCTCCTTGCCCCCCTCCTGCTAATTTCTTTCGTGCTCCATTTTTCTCCTTCCCCTTTCCACCCGTCCTCTCTTCCCTTGTGTTAGGGGCTGCACTAAATTCCCGTGGCAGGTAAGGAGGATATACCCTCAAGGGGGTACGATCGAAGACGACGAGGGTGTGTACCGAGGGTTTGGGATATACGTATTGATTGGCACGTGCGCAGATAGGAGCGAACAACCTTAACAAACATTTGATCTGAATCATCACATGGTGCTCTTATTGGCGGCACATTGGAATATCTTCTAACATCACGCTTAGGCCTTTCCGTGTCCGCCAACATGTGGATACGTCATCACGTGCGAACGGTCTATGAGTCGACGTCGCACTTCGGATCACAGCAGCCTTTGGGAAAGCAAAGCACCACAAACACATGCCAAACGATGCGAATCACAGCAATGCAAGACAGAGCAATGCAATTCAAGCGCTGCAAGCACTGTCATCGTTTTCCTTGCAATATCGCAGTGTAGCTGCATCTTACGCCATTCTCATCATCATCATCATCATCATCATCAGCATCGTCGTCGTCGTCGTCGTCGTCATCATCATCATCATCATCACCAACTTCACCACCACCACCATCACCATCACCATCACCATCACCACCACCATCATCACCACCATCGCCATCGACACCATCATCATCACTGCCCTCTTCGTCACTCTTATCATCATAAACACCATTGTCGTCATCATCATTACCATCCCCATCAGTATACAGCACCAAAGAAGGCCGTATGGTTTTGGTGTGCTTTCCCATCTGTAATGCGGCACATTCTTCAATATGCTGTGGAATACGCGCCCCTTTCTTGAGACTGCAGGTGTTACTGTATGTGCTACTGCATCCCTGGGATTCCTGAAGGAATCCTTCAGGAAGCGCAAGAGGAATCCCGCACGAAAATGTTAGGAATGGGAATCAATCATTCAGAAATCCTTCTGGAATCCGTGGACAAATCCTTCAGAACTCCTGCAGAAATCCATAGGTATCTCCAGGGGTCTTCAGGAAACCTTAGGTTTCCTCAGGACTCCTTGGGAATCCCTCAGGAATCCTTCAGGAATCCCTCAGGAATCCTTCAGGAATCCTCGAGAATCCTAGGGGTCTTCAAGAATGCTTGAGGAATCCCTAAGGCTTCCAATACATAGCTCCACCAAACGAAAACAGAAAGCCCCAAGCGGATACAGAAAACCCTAACTGGTCACAGAAAGACCTTCTCTCCCTCCCTGCGGGGTCCACATCTAATGTGTCTAGTCCGAGGGGGTCACATCATCCCTGCCACTGACTTCACTATTGGGAGCCTGAAGCCTGAACCTCGTCGGCGAATGAATTGCGAGGAAGTCTCGAGCGGGAACCCCCCCCTATAGGCCTCCACCTCATGTTGCTAATCCGAGGGGGTCATCGGAACCCTGTAACTGATGTAGATCTCGAGAAATTCTCGAGCGGGAAGCTCGTTGGTGAGTAGAGGCCGGAATCGCGAGGAAATCTCGAGCGGGAACCTCGTTGGTGAGTAGAAGCCCGAATCTCGAGGAAACCTCGAGCGGGAACCTCGTTGGTGAGTAGAGGCCGGAATCTCGAAGAATTCTCGAGCGGGAACCTCGTTGGTGAGCAGATTGCAGGGAAGACTCGAGCGGGATACCCCCCACAAGACCCCCACCTCAGGTTGGCAATTCGATCAACTGCTCGCTCTGGATTCATCGGCAAGCGGGCTTGCTCCGGGCACCGGAGGAGGAGGCAGGATGAGGCAGGAGAAGGAGGATGAGGCAGGAGGAGGAGGAGGAGGAGGAGGAGGAGGAGGAGGAGGAGGGGGAGGAGAAGACATGATGGGACAGGATTAGGAGGGGAGGCATGATGAGCAGGGAGGGGGGAGGAGTAGGAGGAAGAGGAGGAGGAGGAGGAAAGAGGAGGAGGAGGAGGAAGACGAGGAGGCATGCGGGGGGAACGAGAAGAAGAAGGAGGATGCACGAGAATGGCCTCCACAATCACAACAACCAAGCACTATGACGACGATGACGACTACTCTCATGAGAGCTGCAAGGCTTATCATGTGAGCGATGCAAAATAAACGTGCCTTACGCAAGAATATATAGCGACCTTGCGCGGTGGCTTACGCGCTCCACCAGCGCGACACGCTACCCTGGCGCTTACGCGCGACCTTACGCGGGCAACTTGCGCGCGAATGTCTTTTTCTGCGCCGCTCATGTGGAGTCCCACCGTCGGAGTAGTGTATGCACATGTTGCATATCACTAGCTCTGTGGGTGCAAGCGGTTGGGGAAACTAGCTCTTCAAGCACACCCCCTTG